CAAGGTTGGAAAAAGTGGTGGAAAGTCTTAAAAAGAAAAAGAAAAAGAAACAAGTTGAAGAGAAGGATCCAAAGATATCATGGCAAAGACAAGTATGATATGTTTATTAATTAGACATCATTTGTTTATATTTGATCAAGTAGTTTATATTCACTCCTTCATTTATTTAATGTTGTAGAGTTCTATAAGTTATGATGATATTAATTGTGTACCTATTCCATTGTCTCCTCATAAAGTCGGTGAAATGGGGACACAAGAAAGTTTTGTAACAACAAGCCCAATGATGCCTTTGTATGGATTTTACATGGTTTGCCAACGCAATGTAATTACTATGATTATTTAATTTATGTATTACTTGCTTTATACTTTGTTAAAAAGAATTGTTTGATATTGATAGGTGATTCCGACATCACTAGATGGAGGTCATTATATTCCTTACTCTTCTACTTCAAACAACTAGCTCAATAGTGACATTCAACTTCAAGCTCAAGTATACTTTGTTTTGTATTTATTTGTGAGTTATCACTTACACAAATGGTATACTGCTACTTTACTAAATATATATATTTTGCTAATTTATAGGTCCACTTTAATCAAGTTTGGAGAGGAGTATATGGTACAGGAAATATAGAACTGAACCAAAATATGTCACAGGTAATAATATGTTAGTGCATATGGAGTTATCATTCTTAATTTTATATTCACTTTATTTGTATAATTTACTTGTAATAAAATTTTATTTCATTTGTTTTACTTTTACAGTCAAATCAATTCTTTGGTTCAAATGTTAATCCTCCTATATAGTTACTACTATGAGGGAGTTGTTGTAAATGAAGATGAAGATGGAGATGGAGTAACTTTATGATATTTTGCTACTGTAACTATAGTTAATTAAATATGTTCTATTTTGTTGTTGTAAATGAATTTAAATTTATGATATTTTGCTATTATAAAGGGAGCCAAGTCTATGTTGTATGAATTCTGTTAAGGGAAAAAAAGGATTCTATGTTATATAACATCTAAGGGAAACTAATGGATTCTTGAGAACTTGAGAAAATTATGTAAGTTATAATACTCTATTGTACAAGTTCTAGCACCCTAAAAAAGAAAACAATAGCATCCCGGAAACAAGAAAGAAAAAATATCATCATGTGCCAAAACCCTTCAACTAACCATTTCATTATAAGGCAAAATATCTTATTACATATAAATACTCAAGAGATACACAAAATTACCACAATAAGAAAAATCATAATTCTTATACATAATCACACTGCTCATCTCATTTGTAATAACATACAAAAGTCCTTGACATATGAATGCACTAGAATCCTCGAGTTTTTGGCTTGTTTTTTCTCCCTTGGCTGAAAGGAATAGGGCCTCAAATATTGTTGAGATAATTGATTTATAGATGCAATGGAGTGGCAATGCTTGGATAAGAAGCATAAATGCACAATGCCGAACTAAAATTGAAATTTAAATATCTAGCACTGATGGAGGGGAAGACCAAAACATCTGTATAGGCAATTGTGGTAAACTCCATAAACTGCAAAACATATGAAAGAATTTCAATTGAAGACAAAATCAAATATATACATGAAATTAAATTTAGAGTTTCAAATTAGATAAGAAAATAAAAGAAGAACAGAAAAAATTCAAGGAGGGGAGGAAATAATTTGAAAAGGAGAGAACTATTTTTTTCCTTAACCTATTTCTTACCAATCTCAAGAGAAAGGCATACTAAAATCAAATAAATAAGACAAAAAAAAAAACCACAGAATAAAAAATAAAAGAAGAGAGAATGAATACCTTGCAATCTGCTTTGAGCCTATGATTACTGCGTAAAAAGGCTTAAAATGGTAATTTGAAACTTGCAAATCTAGAGATCGACAAAATCTTTAAATTGTTAATATTGATTATCAAAATACAGAGAATAAACTTTGCGGATTGAAAAAGCAAAAATTTTAATCACCACTATAAAAAAAATAAAAAAAATAAAACTTTGCAAATTGAATAAACAGGGTCGTCGTCGCCTTTCATCACCACTATGATACCGCCAGAAAACCAAGGCTCGCCGGAGGAAGCTTGTCGAGAAGCTGCTGCGTGCTCACTGATCTGTACACACCGGAGGGAAAGGAAGGCCGAAGAAGGTCCAACCGTCGAAGGCAGTAGACGAGAGACAGCAAGAGCAGCATATCGGCGGCGCACCGAAGAGAAAGAGAGAGAGGAACGTACTGAGAAGAAATGAGATAAAAATGGAGGAGAGAGAGAAAGGGACGAGAAGAAACAACGCTAGAGAAGATAAGGGAAGAGAGAAAGAAGAGAGAGAGAGAGAAATAGGGCTGAGAACGAGTAAAAAAAATTGGAGCAATCTAAACCACATAAATTATTTTCATTTTTAATAAAAGGTAAATTACACGTCAGGGAGTTTACTTTGGGAGTAAACATTTCGCACCGTATAGAATTACTCTTAAGATAATTTGGTGTGCATTGTCATATGATCTGAGATTATATTCTTCTCAAATATATTATAACCTATAATGGTAACATACACATTTGCCCATAATAATATCATTTAGATCTAAGATTATATTTGCCAAATATGCATATAGGTGCACTGCACAAGTATAAAACATACGAATGAACAAATGTGCACTTAGAAAAATAGAGAATGGCTTACATTAGTAGCAGACATAGAAGTGCACATAGGGATACCTAACATGCACACACACAAATATGTAAATGGCTACGCAGAAAGAATGCACACATGGACGACAAAAAAATGCATAGATACGCAACAAAAGAATGCACACATGGACGACAAACATTGCACACGAGCGTTTTGCGGAGCACAAAATGTGTTGTCTACAAATGCACAATAACACATAGAGAGATATGAAAATGGCTACGCGTAAAGAAAAACAATGATCAAGAATCCTGCCAAAATTACTCCTCCTACAATCATGCATAAAATCCAAAATAACATGATTCCAATTAAAGACACAATTACTAAACACTCCCTACCTAAATATATTACAATTAAAAAAAATAAATAATCGAAAAAATCTAAACCACCCATCAAGAACACATCAACGCCCAAGATTAGTCCACAGTGTTCATTTGATCCTTTATATATATATATATATATATATATATATATATATATATATATATATATATATATATATATATATATATATATATATAGTTAATTCCACAATTGGTCCTCATTTTTTAATTTGGACAATTTTGGCACTTAATTATTAAAATCTTTACAATGTTGGTACTTCCGTCACAAGCTCGTTAAGTGGACGTCAAATGGAGGGGTAAAACTGTCCTTTCACCTGCTGAGTATATAATTCCTTGTCGTTCCTCTCTGTATACGCAAAATAAATCAAAATCCCAAAACTCTATACGCCACATATATCAAAATCCCCAACTCTCCTCCAGATCAGTGGTGAGCAGAAGTGGGAGATGGAGGAAAAGGGCGACACTTGGCACCGCGTTGAGCGGAGATCCAGGAAGTTCCTCAGGAGGTTCCAGCTACCGGAGAATGCTAATGTGGATCAAGTGAAGGCAAGCATGGATAACAGTGTTCTAACAGTCACAGTTCCAAAGGAGGAGGAGAAGAAACATCGTGATGTGAAATCCATCGACATTTCTGACTAATTTCTGACATTTGACTACATTTGCCCAATGTTTCGGTGTTAATAAGGTAGAAAATTTATGACAGTTGGTTGTGTTGTTTCTACTGTACTGAGAAGGCTTTCTTCAATGGTGGTGTTTGAAGTTCAATCCTACTTCTTGTAAAAGAATAAAACTCATAGAATTAGAAGAACATAGATTCTGATCCAAGAACGAAGTGAAACAGTTGTTAGAGAGATTAGAGTAGAGATTTGGAGTATTATTGTAAAGACCTTCTCCAGAGAGACAATCGAGGGCATTAGTGCCGTCGCCGGAGAGGAGGTGGCGCTGCCGCAACTCCTCCTCCTCCTCGAGGCGTCGTCGCTCCGCCCGGACGGTGGTTTTGATATCGTAGCGCTCGCCGACCAGCAGGTCTCACCGGAAGATGTGGAACAGGCTGGTCATCACTACAAAAAAAACACAAGAATAGCGACGGACGAATTCCGTCGCTAAATAGTAAAAATCCGTCGCTAGAGTTAATAGCGACGGATTTCGTCCGTCACAAAAAGCCTCGTCGCTAGACTTTAGCGACACAACTTTTTTCCGTCGCTAGCCAAAATACATTCGTCGCTATATTCCTTTCGACGACGGATTTGAAGACGACATTTGTGACCGAATAATGACGGAAATATCCGGTCGCTATAATTACCGACGGAAATTCCGTCGCTAAATTAACATGGAATCCGTCGTTACATTTCGTCTACAACATTCCGGCGACGACATCTGTAACGGCTTAGCTACGGATATTTCCGTCGCTACAATTCGCGACGGACATGACCGGCGCTACCTTCCGCCGTTATATTAACGACGAAAATTATCCGTCGCTAGTCTTTTATTATTATTTAAATTTAATGTAATTTAACTACAATTTAGTGACAAAAAATCCGTTGTTAAATTTAACTACGAATTTTTTCGTTGCTATTTCTTTGCCTTACTACCATATTTGTCCGCCGCTAAAATTTAAAAATTAATAAAATAACTATACCTGCTAATTAATATCTAATATCAGAAACATGCATTAAGCCTATAATATAGTACTTGAATAATATAATTATAAAATATACTATATTAAAGCATTCAAAGTGAATACAACAACAAAAGTATATTAGTATAATGTTACAACATTAGAACCACTACCAAATATATTAATAAACATAATCTAATCATCTCCTAAGTTTTCATCATTTGAATTGGCCGAATGTTGAGCTTGAGTACTTGGAATGGATAGCATGCCGTTGCGACGCAACTCATCCATCAAACTTGCAATTTGAGCTTGCATTTGAGCCTGAATTGGAGTTCTTTCAGCTTGTAGTTTAGCGTCCATCTCAATTCTTTCAGCTTGTAGTTTAGCGTCCATCTCAATTCTTTCAGCTTGCAGTTTAGCTTCTATCACAATTGCGTCCATCTCAATTCTTTCAGCTTGCAGTTTAGCTTCCATCACAATTCTTTCAGCTTGTAAACAATCATGCATATTTTCATAAACCTCCGGTACCCACAAATGATTTAGCCAAATAAAACACAAGGGCCAGTACCCACAGGCGGTTTAGCCGGCAAATAAACAACAAATGAAAATTTTGTAAGTTCAAAACAAACCTTAGCAACGCAAGAAGAACTTGAAGACCTTGTGAGTTCAAATTTGTCAAGCTCGCAATACCTAGTAGTCAACACGTTTACAATAGATTATTTATCCATAAGAAAATATCAAAACATATTAAATAAGTTTAGAAATTGACATCTTCTATAAAAGCTGTTTTCAACTTATTTTGAAACTATGTATTGAAACTGTACCCTTGAGCTAATCTACATGGGGATTGTGCAGTATTTATTGCCACAAACTCATAAAGCTGGTACAACTTTATAGTGCACCCTATCAATGTGGCTTAAGTAATAAACAGTGCAAACTACTGCAAACAAACTGAGGTCAAATACCCAAGGATACATGAATAAAAGATAGCACATCTATTACTATCATTGTGGCTTAAGTAATAAACAGTGCAACACTGCAACCAATGAACAAAGCATAGCAGAAAATCTCTATACAAGAATGTGAGAACTCCATCTATGTCTTCTGCAAACCTAGTCTACTATAATACAGCCTTCATATTTATCAAAGTGTATTACAGAAAAGGTAAGAAACAATATTTTCCATCAAAGCTATCCACATTTAGACAATTTACTCGAGAGAAATAGTAGATCCTTCACACAAGTCTCCATCCACCCAGGTGGAAAATGAATGCTAAATGCCTAATAAGTATTAAGAAAACATTATTTGTGTAATAACAATGAAATTAAGACCAGAACCGTGTCATTTCATATTATTTCAAATATTGCACTTACTTTTCTCATCTCATTCAATAAACCCAAAGGCCTCAATAAATTCATTGTACTCATTTACTTGTGGATTCAAATTGTTTGTACATCACACTGACAATGAATCATAATGAATCACACAACAAAACTAGCAGAAGCAATACCTGCACTTACAGTTGAAGCTGTTTCAAATATTCAATGGCTTGCTCCAATTGCTGAAAATTGAAAAAAGAATTGCAATTTTAGTGCCAATCAGCAAAATATTTAACAGGACAAAACCATACTCTTCAATTTTTAGTTTTAGCAGTCAATTTCACAATATATACTTGATGGGGCTGCAGTGTGTTCTTAGATAATGTTTAACACTAAACCTTGAGTTATATAGTACATGGATTAATAGATCATAAATTTTAATTTATATACTATACTGCCTGAGTTTTATTTTAACACTAAACTTTGACAAACAAGTATTAAATATTGACTGAAGGTTTATTCCTTAACTCAGGTGTATTAAATATTTCATTTATTTAGAGTTACTTATCCAACTAGTTAGAATACTTAACAAGCAAATAATTTAGTTAGTATGGGTTTCAGATTGTTTAATTTGGTGACTACTTGTGAAAACAAATTAGATAATGTCATCTAATTAGATATGCTTTATTGCTTTCACAATTATACAATGGTATGCTCTCTTGGCATCGTTTGGCTACAAGGTTCGACAATTGAAAGAACAAATAATGTATGGTGCAAGAAATGGTTCTAGTCAATGCTAGGGGAAAATGACTGCAAATTTACCAACTTTACTTCAAATTTACCAACTCCAAGTACACAGGCATTATTAGGTCCGAAGATAGAGAGAGATAACTCCAAGTACACTAAATATACAGGAAAAAAAAAACACAGAGAGATAATTTAAAACATTCCCATGACTGCAAAAAAAAAAAAAAAAAAAAAAAAAATACATTAAATCCCAGTTCATAACAGCAACAAATAGAAGAAGAATTGAAGAATTGAAGGTCATCCTGTTTGCAAATGAATTAATTATTGAATCGATTACCAGACATTATTGAATTATTGAATCAATTACCAAATAAACAGATAATTACAAAAAAAATGGTGTAATGAATTACCTAGAGCAACGGAGATAGGAGAACTGGAGTCGCTACTGCCTTCTGCCGGAGAAGCCGGGTATGGAGACCGGAATAGCGAGAAGGCAGAACCACCGGAGGGAGGAATTCCGCACCCGGTTCGAAGGGAGGAGGAAGAACCACCGAGTACGGAGACCGATACTGTCGGATGTGGTGGGCGGTGGGAGGAAACTAAATACGGTGGACGGTGGGCGGTGAGCGATAGACGATGGTCGGTGGTGGTCTGAGAGCGATGGGACCGGCGGAGGCCGGAGAGGGAGAAGTCTTCTGAGCGTCGTCTTGTGAATTTGTTAATTAGGAAGGGGTAGGTAGGGTTCTGAGCGACGGATAGTGTCGCTATTATTACATATATATGTTAAATTCCAATAAATAAGCTTAACGACGGAAATATATCCGTCGCTAGCTTATATATGTTAATATATCCACTAATTAAACTTAGCGACGGACAAGTATTCGTTGCTAGCTTATATAAGTTAAATCCCATGACTAAACCTAGCGATGGAATGTTATCCGTCGCTAGATTAGATATGTTAAAACCCAATAAATTAACTTAGCAACGGATGAATATCCGTCGCTAGCTTATATATGTCAATATCTCAAACCTAAACTTAGCGACGGACACATATCCGTCGTTAAAATGTTGAATAAAATTTGCGTGTCATGACTTTAGCGACGAATTTTTACATCCGTCGCTAGATAGCTACGGATTTTTATATCCGTCGCTATAATATAAACAAAAACAAATTTTTGTTGTAATATCTAGCGACGGATGCGTATATCCGTCGCAAGGTTGTAGCAATTAAAATAATGGCGTAACACCGTGAAAATTCCGTCACTAATCCGTCGCTAATCTGTCTCTATTTTTCGCACCAAAGTTTGCCGCTAAAATTAGCTACGTAATTACCGACGGTACTTTTCCGTCGCAACATCCGTCCCTAGTCCGTCGCCAGGTCGTCGCTAAATAATCATTTAACAAAAAAATTGAAATCGGTCACTAATATGTCGCTAATCGGTCGCTAATTTAGCAACGGAACGTATCCGTAGCTAAAACCGTCGCTATATTCGCGTTTTTTTGTAGTGCATCTTGTCGTAAATCTCGTCTTCCTTCATGTCCAGCAACGTGTTCATGGTGAAGCCCAGCTCAGCTATCTTGGCGCGGTGTAGTATCTGATGCCGTAGGGGATCTAGGGCGGCGGCGGCTTCTAGGAACCTGCTTGGTAGGGGCATTGCGGCTCTTGGTTCCCATTTGAACAAGCTTGAAGAGAAGGCGTCTGGGTCTATTTTTCTTCATAAATTTTCTTTCTGTTTATGAAGGTTTAGTGGAGGTGATGACAAGTGTTCTTTCCTATAAAGGACTTAACCTCTATTCACACTAGTTTCAATATTTATACGACAAAGAATTATACACTCAGCAGGTGAAAAGACGGTTTTACCCCTCTATTTGACGTCCACTTAACGAGTTTGTGACGGAAGGACCAACGTTGAAAATATTTTGATATTCAAGTGTCAAAATTAAAAGACGAGAGCCAATTGTAGAAAATCACTATACTCGGAGGACCACTGCTAGAATTAACTATATATATAGTTAGACATTGATCTTGTCAAAATCAACCTCTAAGATGAACACGGATTAAAAAATGTAGTGACATTTTCGTAATTTTGCGTATTGTTGAAACTTAAGGTGCATATTTTCTGTGCCTAAGATGCGTTGTTTTAACATTTAAGGTGCGCCATTTTAACACTTAAGGTGCGTTATTGTTGAAACTTAAGGTGCGTCATTCTAAAGCTTAAAGTGCGTCTTTTTAAACATTAAGGTGCTTCATTTTAACACTTAAGGTGCCGTGATTTTACAACTTAAGGTGCGTCATTTTAACACTTAATGTGCGTCGTTGTAACACTTAAGGTGCGCCATTTTTACACTATGCTTCTGTCTTCTCAGGATGCACCTTTTATTTATTTATTTTTTAATTTTCATTAATTTGAGCCGTTGATCTAGATTTAACCAACGGCTCAAACTCATCGTATGTTTCACCTGGGGCCTCCTTCGCACTAGATCTTATCCATATAATATATATATATATATATATATATATATATATATATATATATATATATATATATATATATATATACACACACACACACACACACACACACACACATATATATATATATATATATATATATATAGAATAATGCTCATATGTGATCATGTTGTTAGGTGTGGTCGTGTGGCGGAATTTCAGAATACACTAACAGTATTAACAACATACACCAAGAGTGTAAGGGAAACACACCACAATGAAATGTAAAAAAAATACCAAAAAATACACAACAGACCCAAAAAATACAGCATATAACTCACCAACCCCATTGGTGTATTTCTGAACACTGTATGGTGTTTTTACTCACACCTAATGGTTTGTTGTTGGTGATGCGTACCTAATTTGTGTGCGTTTTTTGTGGTGCATTTTCTGACATTGATGGTGTATATCTTACTTAACTATTGGTGTATTCTGAAATTCCGCCACACGACCAAACCTAACAACATGACCATATGTGATCACCTCTCTCTCTCTCTCTCTCTCTCTCTCTCTCTCTATATATATATATATATATATATATATATATATAAAATACCTGTGATGAAAGCTATACTCTTCATTTATGTTTGTTTTTTCTGTTACCTTTTTTATACATTATGCTATAAGAGTTGTACTATACAATATTTTGGTAAAAAAAATACCTCTACTGTTATAACTTCCATTATTTTTTTCAACTATTGTTACCATACACGTGTATCCACCATATATTATCTTATCTTCTTCATATTTTTTTGGTGAATATATAGACATCTATACTATCTATACTATTTGTTAGAGAAATATGAACTGTATATATCTTTCTTGAATCAATACAATTACAGAGAAAGAACTCCTATATATACACATTGTAAGATAAAGAAAATGAAAGACAATAATACTAAACCAAAAATACAAAGCTAAATTAAGGTAGGAAATATGCTAATATAGGTAGAATATATTTTAGAATATATACGTTAACACTCTAGAATATATACGTTAACACCCCCCCCCCCCCCCCCCCCTCAAACTCAAGGTGGGATAATAGAAGCCAACTTGAGTTTGCGTAGTAAAAACTGAAATCGTCCAGGGAGATGAGCTTTAGTAAAAATATATGTTGATTGATCTTCAGATGAAACAGGAGTAAGCTGCACGGTGCCATGTTTAATATGTTGGCGAACAAAATGACAATCCGTCTCAATGTGTTTGGTTCGTTCATGAAACACATCATTATGAGCAATTTGAATTGCACTTCGATTATCACAGTGAAGAACAGTAGGCGAGGATTGTTTAATACCCATATCTTCAAGTAGCCATCTAAGACAAATCAATTCAGAAGTAGCATCGGCAAGTGCTCGATATTCAGATTCAGTGCTAGACCGAGAGGTGGCTGTTTGCTTTTTACTTCGCCATGAAATAAGTGAGTCACTCAAGAAGAAACAATAGCCAGTCGTTGAACAACGATCAGTAGGGTCTCCAGCCCAATCAGCATCAGAGTAGGCAGATAAGGTTAATGAGGAGTGCGCAGAGAAATGAAGACCATGCACAAGAGTACCTTTGACATATCGTAAGATGCGGAACACAGTAGTAAAGTGAATTGTACGAGGAGCAACCATAAACTGACTTACTACGTGAACAACATAAGCAATATCCGGGCGAGTTACCGTAAGATAAACAAGGCTACCAACCAGTTGCCTGTATAATGTGGGATCAGCCAGGGGTGTGCCATCAAAAGGTGTTAATTTAACATTTGTGTCCAATGGTGTAGATGTAGTACTAGAATCTGTTATACCAACCCTTGAGAGTAAATCAGCAGCATATTTAGCTTGAGATAAATAGTAGCCATTAGAAGTATAAGAAACTTCAAGACCTAGAAAATAGCTAAGAGGTCCCAAATCCTTCATCTCAAAGTGTTGATGAAGATAACATTGGACATCAGAAATAGCCACGGAATCATCACCTGTAATAATCATATCATCTACATAGAGTAACAAGAAAACAACACCCTTGTTAGTATGGCGAACAAACAAAGCTGAATCATGGGGACTTGAAGTGAAACCAAATCGTGCAATCGTGGAGCTGAATTTTGTGATAGGAATATTTTTGTAATAAAGTTTTGATGAGCCAAATGTACTTTAGATCCCCTTAGAATTTAGGTCTTTAGTATAAGCATCATAATCCAGAATATCGAGTCAAAGGAAAATCTACTACATGAAGAACAAAATTGATTTGAACAATTAATTTTGGTCCTACAAGTATTCATCCGGGAAAGAAGCATAAAGGAATGGCGTTGCAACAAATGACTGGATGAGCCTAATGGCGAAATGGTAGAAGTCTTTACTCATAACGATTACACCCGAGATTGATGTGCCCAAGGAACACAATGTTCGTACAAGCTCAATGTTATTTCAGAAAAGCACGATGTGTCTTAAGGAGCACAATGTGGACTTATCAGAAAAGCACAATGTTTCATGTCAAACAAGCAAGAAGTGCCGAAGTCAAACAAGCAAGATGTATCCAAAGGAGCACAATGTGTCTTCTAAGAAGCAAAATGTGGCAAAGAAGCAAGATGATCAGAAAATGGATAAATTCGAAGGAATTTATTTTGATTCTCCCCACATGCCACAAGAATCCAAATTGCCTGAAGATATGATCAGAACGGTAGAAAAATTTATGAAAGACATGAATATAAAATCTTATCCTAGAAATAAATTCTATCAGAAGGATTTATTTCAAAGATACGTTGGAAATTCAAAATTGACAAAAGATAATAATATTTTAGAAACAACTTGAAAATCAAGTTGAAATAAAATATTATCTTGTCAGACAAGTTGACAATCAAATCAAAATTGAAGACCTACCATTGCCAACAATATCAGACTACAAGATTCAAAATTCAATTATCAAATTATCCCACTCGACCGGATATATTTGATTTCCTATAAAAGGCCATGAAGACTTGAAGACGAAAAGAAGAGAAGAGAACACACGGATGAACAAGTGCGAATTCTAGAAATACAAGTGCTCAAATATTCATTGAAATATCTAGAAAAGAGACTTAGCCTTAATAGTCTCAAAATTAGTTGGAGAGAGATACAATTACCTTTGTATTTGTAATTGTAAAAAAGAGTATAGCTGTGTGCAAAATACTCTAGTGTGTGTAGCTGTGTGCAAAACACTCGTGATTGCTAAGTCTAGCTGTGTGCAAGACACTTAGTTGGCGTTGAGTATAGCTGTGTGCGAAATACTCGTAGTTGAGTGTAGCTGTGTGCGACACACTCGGAGTTGGGTGTAGCTGTGTGCGAGACATCCGGAAGAAGTGCTTGTGTAGCGCTTATTCACTATTGTAACTATGTGTGGAAAATAGTGAATTACTCCTAGAAGTGAATGGAGTAAAGTGGACTAGGAAGATTACGTCACTTCCGAACCACTATAAATTGCCTCTCTCATTTACATACTGCACTTACATAATTCGCTCTATCTATCTATCTTATCCGACTAACCCGTTTACTATTCACTGTCAATCTTAATCTTACGGGTTTAGTGTGTTTTCACGTATGCATGTAACTCAAACTTTCCGAGCTTAACTTTTGAATTATTCTAAGCAAGTTTGACGTGTTGCATATGACTTTTATCATACGATTGACGTGACACGAAATCTTATTTATAGTCTTGAATATTATTGTTAAATATTGAGTGCACCATCTCCTTTAAATATTCAAGATATTCATGTCATCTTTACACCTCATCTGAGCTTATCCTACACGTGCATGTGATTCAAATTATTGATTGGGCATAACTCTTTACACTTATTTATTCCGCTGTGCATTTCAATTTAATTACTTCTCTATTTACTTGTTATTTAGAGTTGAAATTACCAAAGAGTTATTTATTGTGAAAAAGTTTAAAAGTCTATACACCCCCCCCCCCCCCCCCTCTAGACTTTTACCACCCTATAGGGACCAACAATTGGTATCAGAGCAGTTTTCTATTTGAGTCAATCTTGACTGCTAGACAGATCTCGAAAAATCAAGATGATGAAAAGAGATATGGCTCTTGCCCAAAATCAATTGTTTTCCTTAGAAAAAGTTGATGATTGGAAAATTCGCATGATGGTACATTTATCCGCATTACATGATGAAATGTGGGAAGTTATCCGCATTACATGATGAAATGTGGGAAGTCATCACCAGTGGTCCTATTGAATTTTGCAAGTCAACACTTCATCCGAACAAACAAGTGAGACTCCGCAATACATCCCAAAACTGAAGGTGGAATGGTCTCGTGAAGATAGAACTAGAAATAACTTGGACAATATTGCCAAGGATATTTTGTTTAAATATATCGATGACACGATATTCCCAAAAGTTCGAAAATGCCAATCCGCAAAAAAAGTCTGGGAAACGCTCATTCAAATTGGTGAAGGAGGCGAGCAAGAAAAGGATAATAAGCTCACCATAGCATTAAAGAAATTCGAGGATTTCAAAATGCTATACGGCGAGAATATTACCGACAAGGAAACAAGATTTGCTAAAATCTTAGGAGAGATTAATGATCTTGGAAAAGATATTAATCAAAAGGAAATTTCACTCAAAATTCTACGTGTTCTACCATCTACATGGAACATGAAGGTCACGGCCATGAGAGATCATAGAGATCTAAAAACCCTATCAACCGATAAGCTTTTTAGTGATCTAAAAGTTTATGAATTTGAGATGAAATCAAGAATAGAGAAAGATCATGAAGAAAAGAACAACGCACTCGTAGCCGAGCAACCATCAACTTCAAGGTCAGTACAAAATGTTGAATTATTGCCTAATGATCAATTTGCTCTCTTTGTCAAGAAATTTAGGAAATTCATGAAGAGAAGCAACTACAAGAAAAATCCACAAGAAAAATCGTGGAATGCAACAAAGAATTCGAAGAAAGAAATGGTTGAGGAAGATTCAAATTTGTGTTACAATTGTAGAAAGCTTGGACATTTTGCAGCAAGTTGTCCACACCCCAAGGTAAGTAAAAGTCAATACACAAATATTTCTAACTCTCAACAGGAAGAATTCAAGACCAAAGATAAAAGATTTACAAAGGAGAGAAGAAAAGCACTTATTAGTGACCCACTTGAGACAAGTGAGTCAGAAGAATCTTCAAGTGATGAAAGTGACACCTCAAAAGATGACAATGCAATGTTTTGCATGAGTATCTCCAACAACTCATCCTGCGAGGACATGTGTCTTATGGCAAATGAAAATGAAGAAAATGAGGTAACATCTAATTCTTATGATTCTGTAAATTCTTCATTCTCTAGAGAGTCCTTCTTTCACTTAATGAAAAAATGTCAAACAGTTATGGACATTCACTCTCAACTCAAAGAGCGCAATAATTTTTTAATTCTTGAAAAGGATGAATTAAATGAAAAATTGCAAAATGCTCTACTTGAAGTGAAAGACTTGAATGATAAAATTATTTGTCTTCAAGAAGAGTGTAAATCAAGGGAAGTGAGAGAACAAAACCTTAGAGAGGTTATAGCAACATTTACACATTCATCCAAAATAATTGACAAAATGGTAAATATGCAAAAACCCTCAAGTGATTTCTTTGGTAAAAGGTCAAGAAAGCACAGTGAGACAAGGAATTGGTTATCAAACTAATGTCAAATTTAATGCTGTTAGGTCGAAGCCTCAAAGAAACAATATTTCGCCCAAGCAGTATATAAAAAGGCAAAAGTTTGTTCCTAAATGGAAACACACCAATGAGTCTAGTGCACAAAGCCCTCGTAGGAAAATGGGAAGAAATCCGAGAATTGGGGCAGGGAGATTTTATCCCTCTGAACAAGATTGGTTTGATGATATTAAACCATGGACTAAGTCCAGATTTAATGCCTATCATAGGCTCAAACGATCTACTTCCCAAGTGCCAAAAAATCGAGTCAATTTTCAAAAATCGGCACAAAAACTGTTTTCAAAAATTAAATATGATTATAATATGTTTAATGGTTACCAATCACCTAGACTTAGATCAGTGAGTACAAGGTGGATTTGGGTAACAAAAATGACTAACACCCAAGGACCCAAATCATGTTGGGTACCTAAAAATGTGTAATTTATTTGCAGGAAATTTGGTATTTCGATAGTGGATGTTCTAGACACATGACTGGAAATAAATCTAGTCTTTTGGATTTCAAAAATATCGAAGGACCAAAAGTCGTATTCGGTGGAAATGAACGATACGGCATAACCAAATGAATTGGTATAATATCTCGAAATGGTTTAAAAATTGAAGACGTATCCTTTGTTAAAGGTCTAAAATTCAACTTGTTAAGTACAAGTCAATTTTGTGACAAAGGATATCTAGTAGAATTCTTCAAAAACAATTGTCAAGTGAAGAATAATTCCTCGGGAGAAGTTGTGCTCGAAGGAAAAAGGAAGAAAAATATGTATGTGGTTGATTGAAACACGACAAAAGAATCAGTATGTCTACTAGCAAACAACTCACGCGCAACAAGTTGGGAATGGCACAGAAAGTTGAATCATCTAAACTTCAAGACCATCAACAAGCTAGCAAGAAACAAACTCGTTGAAGGTCTACCCGACATCGTTTACAAGAAAGATCAAATATGTGATGCTTGCCAAACAGGAAAGCAAATCAAGTCATCATTCAAATCCAAAGCTCAAGAATCTACAACAAGACCGCTAAGTCTACTACACATGGATCTATTCGGTCCAGTAGACCCTGTAAGTCTAAGTGGTAAGAAATATACACTAGTTGTTGTTGATGATTTTTCCAGGTACACATGGACGATATTTCTCAAGAAGAAAAATGAAGTGGAGCAAAAGTTGCCAGAACTACTTAAGCTACTACAAAACGAGAAAGACCTGAAGATTGCAAAAATCTGAACTGATCGTGGAACTGAGTTTGTGAATCAAGTGATCCAAGCCTACTGCAATTCTCAAGGAATTCTACATCAATTATCTGC